ATCGATAATAATCTTCGGTGGTCGACACACATTCAGAACTGTATGGGAAAACTTCGGTGCCTCTCCTTTCAGCTTCGGAAGCTCAGACAATTTTGCACTGCCCAACAAGTTTTGTTCTCTTTTGTTCAACAATGCGTTCTCCTTATTTTACTCAATTGCTCTCCTGTCCTGTTTTCCAGTTTGTTGAAACAAGACTTTAAAACTATCCGTCGTGGATTAATGGTAATAAGCCGTGCATCTTTAATTGCTGCCGAGTCATTATTCACAGAACTTATTAATGCTCATATGAAGTCTTTTGGGTTCTTTGCCAATAAGATTCTAAACGACCCCACCCATTTTGACTTAACTTCTTGTCGCTCCCACTCGATCACTCGTTCCTTTTTTCGGTACCTACCCTCCCGAATAAACATCTATAAAATCCCCACTGTACCGTATCTGGCTAGCATCTTGACCAACAAGGAGCGAGTTATAAACGAATTACATCAATCTTTAATTAGATAAATCAAACTTTAGAGACATTTATTTTTTTACACAGCACTCTATTGAATTGGTTTATACTTCTATATTTTCTCCAGTGTGACGACCAATGTACAATGTTTGACTGAAATGTAAGCATATATCAGCTTGCAAAAGTTATACAAATACAAATACAAAATAAAGCAAGTCAGTGGATGGAACTATTAAAACTGAAAATCACTCCCCTGATTATATATATATATATATTAGTGATTTGCGGGAAAGCATAGTGTCATAACAACAATGACAATAACAAGGGATGGGTGGACTGGGATACAGAACAGAATGAAACGTAGATTAAACAGTTGCAGTGTCAAACAGTAAGCAACAGGAAAAAGGATAATTTTTATTTGTTTCACCGTAAATATTTGCTTTTTTGTATTTTACTTTATTTTTTTAAGCGGCACGATATTACAACAGATATACTGCACAGCATTAGCGACACTGACATGTATGCTGGGCCATATCTCTTAGTGTCTCTAACCAAACGACAANTTCTTCATGTCATTATATCATTATCTGACCGCTGCGCTGCTTCTTTCAACCTCGCCCGGCACGTGCAAAGAGAGCACGGATTGGTAGTCGACGGAAAAGCATACGCAAAACGTAATGAATCCATCAGAGGCGGTGTAGAGCGAATAATTCTTTTAATTCACACTCAACGCATGACGGTAAACGTCGTTGTTGCTCACTCAATGGTGAAACGCAAATCAGGATTTGTTTCT